AGAAGTTGCATCATTTTATTTTATAGCCTTTTATTCCTGTTATACTTTGGTAGTTAAAGAAGTCAAACTAATACCAGCAGACCAGATACCAGCGTATTGGAAACACACAAAGCAAACACAAAGAGACAAAAAAAAGACAGAAAGCCTTAAACACTGAAAATAACCACAACTAGACACTAAATGACTACACAAATAATTAAAACAAGTATCAAAAAGCACAAGGGATCACAGAAGAATGAAATGAACAAAGGAAGAAAACCAAAAAGATGGTAAAGAAATCTACAAAAATGGGCAGAAAACGACTATAAAAGGAAAAAAAAAACAGGAACAAAAACACAACCAAAACGTAACTACAAAGTAACACAACACTAACACAGAGAGACACAAACAGACTAAACTTCAACGATAGGACGACGCAGGATTTCTGAACACGTTTGAAACAATCGAGATATAAAAGTCATTTAATATTTTTATCTTTCTATTCACTGTTTGACGTTATTAAGATGTAATGGTGACTTTAATCATGTTGGGATTTTTTGATATTTACAATCAAACAAAAACCAGATTTTTCGGAAAAATCTGCGTCACTTCTGTTTGCTGTTACAGAGCAGGAGAGGTCAAAGTCAGAGACGCGTCTCCTGTGACTGCAGCAGCTTCCTCATCAATTAGTCAAAGCCTGCAACTTGTGTCCGATTACCCAACGCACAAATAACCCGGCTGCACTCGAGGAGCGCCTATGGAGCGTCCTCACAGCCCCATCGGAGCCTCGGACCTCCCTTACATCCTCCAGAACCAAATCTGTGACACCTGGAATTAACAATGATCTTCCCTGACCTCTGACCTCACATGGGGAACAGAAAGCAGACAGAGAGTGTGTTTTCTTAACCACATCCTGCAAACTGAACTGGTTGCAAACCACTACGGGATCTGAGGTGTACTTACGCTTACCAGATGCCATTAATAACAAATTAATACATTTCATATAAACTAGTGAATCTGAATTATATTTCTTCATTTTTTGGTATTTTGTAATTATTCTTTTTGAATTCTCCCACTTTTACTCCCATTTTTTTTTGACCCGTGTTTGAACCCTCCCTTTTTCTCATAGTACCACCAGAGGAACACACAACTCCAAAGGGATTTGTGTTTCCTCCTGGTCCTGCATTATTGCCAAACTCACCTCTGGGATTCCTAAAATCTGCTCTCTGAACAACCTACTGCTTCAATTAAATAAGCATAAATTAAATTATCCACTTTGCGAGTATCTGTAAAAAAAAAAGCCTCTGTGTTGTCTGAGGAGGGCTTCAGCAGTCAGGCTTCCTAACTGGCTGTGAGAAAGGTGTGCATTATATTCTATAAGACTGAGCTGATCTGTGTTTTCTTGGCGTTACTCACATTCCTGTCGCGCCTTTGGGTGTGTGCACTGCATGGTAGGATGAACTTAAGATCCTGGATTCACAGACAGTCAAATGTCACAGCAAACATGCCAGAACTGACATGATTAGTAGTTTCAGTCTGAGCAGAGGCAATACCCTTGCACTCAGTGTTTTTTAAATAAAAACAGCTCGCCTCACATTATTTAGAGCTGAGCGAAAGTCAGCTGAATTCCTCTGTATTAGGATGAGTCAAGGCTGAAGGAGTCGAACACAGGAGCATTTGTCAGCTGAAATGAGGAAATGACTGGCTGAGGTGTGACGCAAGAGGGCCTTAACAGAAAAAACCAACCCATGTCATCAACCTTAATGTCTGCAGCGGGTCTATCAGGGAAAATGGTCATTTCCATCTGAATCCTTGACACCTCTTCAGAGACAAACAGGTAAAAAGGCTTTATGGAGGCTAATTGGGTGTCCTGCTTGCTAAGTTCATCTGGTAGCAAAACAAGCCATGGACCTATAAATATCCTACCAAAATCCCCCTGGATTTTTAGTTTTGCTGAAATCCTTGCAGATACCCAAACTTGCAAATAAGTGAAAGTCCTCATAAAAATCTTTCTTTAGTGTGTGCGCTGAACTGAACTCCTAGACGTCTCCAATTCTCTTCACATAGCAACTTGACGAAACCCTGAAACATCTCTAAATAGAAGTTAGTACAGAGTTTCAAAAAATATCCCGATGGCCCTTCAGCCCCCTTGGCATGCTTTAGCGCTTGTCACTACCCGATCTGTACCGGAAACCCGATGTGTACCATGATGCGTGAATCTTACGTCACTTCCTCTCTTTGCCAACATTGTGACGGTTAATGTATTTGAATGGCACGGTTAGCGCCCAGTTAGCTCCTAGCATTTCTCAACAGCTCTGCCTCCTTTTCGACTGCCCGGGACATTTAAACAATGGATAATCCGTATACAAACAAAGTCGTGCTTTTCTCCTCAACAGAGAGCGTCCACCGATTGAACAACAGTGACGTAAAATAAGAGGAATGGCGCCTAATTACAGACTTAACAATACAGACTTAGTAATATGTCACGTGAAGATTCATCAGCCAGATGAAGTGTTTACTGACAATTGACAGTGATAGCGAACATCATCATCACTATTCCAACAATCCTCTCCTCACAGACAAGCATGAACACACTCTATCACTAAATCAAGTTTAACACACGTTTATAATGATTAGGGATGGGTATCGAAAACCGGTTCTTGTTGAGAACCGGTTCCCACTGTTTCAATTCCTTGGAATTGTTTGACATTTTAACAAACGATTCCCTTATCGATTCCAGTCGCCCCGAATGACATTTAAATCAGCTGTGTTGGATCAAGGACACATCTAAAACCTGCAGGACATCGGCTCTCGAGGCCTGGAGTTCCCTACCCCTGCCTTAACAGATACTCTGACCCGTAACTATCGTAAAATGCTTCGAGCGGAAGTACACGCCTGTCGAAAATGCATGGTACGGATTGGGTTTCCGGTACAGATCGAGTAGTGACAGCTCTCTTGGTGGTCCACTTTCTCAGGATATTTTAAGAGTTTATGGAGACTTCTTTTGGTTCCGTTTCTGTTTTGGGGGTCTTTTGTGCCTATTGTCTAGTGTCTTGTGGAGATGATGCTTCCAAAGAACACCTGATGGTCTCTACAGCCCAGCCATATATCCAGTATACAGACCTGCTGAACCCTGTCATCTAAACTAGAAAACCTCAAAATATCCTTTAACATCATGACAAACCAGTTGATGAACTCTCTTCTACATTACAGCTGTACTGCGACACTCCCCATTTGAACAGTGTGAACCAGGGAGGGTCAGGGTGGAGGACTGGCTTTAGTGAAAACAAAGGTTAAAAATTAAACCTGGGAACTCGGTTCCCATCATGTTACCACTGACAAAGTTAGCATACTGTGAACATTTTGACTTCCTCAGCTCACTGATGTTATCTTTTCACTAGTTTGAATGTGAATGTGAATTTGAATGAATGTGGTGGTGTGAAAGTGCAGAAAAAAACCTGATATTTCCTGTGTTTACAGTGCAGGAGGCAGCCTGTGGCTGAAATCAGAGCTGTCATTTACATGAAGCTGTGCACACATGCAGACACGTGAACCAATACTATCAGCTCACTTAGCGCTGAGACATAAATCCAATAATGAGCAGGCTGCCTCCACAGCTCTACACATAACTGAGGAAATACATCCAGAGCTCAGTGAGAATCCCATATTATGACAGATCTATGGTCCCATAGATTGTTCAAGGATGGCGATCAAGATAAAATGAAAAGTTACTGTGCTGCATTGTATATTTATTAATGAATTGCCCTTTGGTGCACACCCCTGTCCTCTACTTTTACCACTTAATCAAAGTCCAAATTCACTCCCCACAGCCTGTGGCACATTTAGTTCAGTTCAAAGTAAACTGTTTTTTCCCCTGTGAGTAATCATTGTAAATAAAACGGATCTGGAATAGGTGTGATGATGGGTTTTGCTGTAACTCAGCTGCCCTACATGCGTGCAGCACTGTATGTTTGGAGAATTGTATAGATTAGGATCTATTTACGGTCAGTTGGGAGTTCATTTTGCATCCATGGATACAGTCTGTTGTGACTATAGAAGCACAAACATAGGAAAAAATGAAAGTCTCACTGAAATACTACAGGAGGCTTTGTAAGGTCGATTTCAACAGAAATATAGACAGGCGTGGTGAAAAGATGAGAAAACCTGACAGAAACCGATAAGGACTACGCGTTTATGTTGCATTATTTAGAAATGGTACCACTATACAGTGATAAAACACACTATATGTACACATATCTAGCTACCAACACATATACCACATAAGGCTTTCTCCTCTAGCAGCACAGTAGCAGTAGGTTATTTTTTGTGTTTTAACGCACATCAACATTCAGAGCTAAAGAAAGGTAGTGCTAAAAACTGCAGTTCCTCTAACGTCAGCTAGAGGCTGGCTAGTGAGACTCTAATGTTAAAACATACAGTGGAAATTGAAAGAAAAAGCTGTGCAGCTAAATTTGACCTTCATAACAACTGTAAAGGGTTATAAATGTTCATATAACTCACCTATTCAAACTATATTAATGCTAGGGGGCGTGGCCACTATTTTTAATGACGGCTGCTTGCTAGGTTTCACTCGAGCGAATTGGAGATGCTGAACCTTGTGCTGCTTGTGCCTTTCAAAGCATTTTATTACCAACACGTCCCTTTTAGGTCCCTGCAAAAATCCAGCATGGTCGTGGCCAGAACACCAATTTTGAAGCCAAAGCCATAGATGTGGCCATCTTTTAATACAGTCTATGCTTTGCAGCCAAACAAAGGTGTGTGTTTTTAACGCGTAACCAGTTTCTGACATCATATTCACAGTTTAGGTGTAAAATCTGTCCTTTCCAGAACTCTGATGTGACACAGAGACTAAAACACCCTCAACAGCCTGGTGGATGTAGCCCACGTGATGTAGGTATATGAGATCAAAGTGGGAACATCATCACAAATAACTGGTTACATCACGCACTGTGGACATGTCAGTGGAAATGCGTGCGTTAAATGCGATCTCCGGCTCCCACCTCCTCCTCTGCGGCCGCTCCGTTGCCTACGTGGGCCATGTCCGCTCCCGGTGCCTGTTCTCCCTCTGGTCCGCGGGTCGCCTGGTTCCGCTACGAGGACGGGCAGAGTCCCATGACAGCTGCAGCCGAACCTCCGCTCCTCTGCGGCTGCGCACGGATCTCCTTCTGCTCCTCTGTGCTCCGTTTATTTTGATTCTTATCGCCGTAGGTCCGCTTCGTCCTTGAGTCAGGCGCGCTTCTTTGCCTCTGCTCTCTTCCGTGAAAGAAACACGGAGAGAAAACACACCTCCCACATTTCCGTTTCTCCGCCCATAGAAAATAGAAGAGAGAGAGGAAATGAAGGAGGAGAGGAGAGAGGGAGGAAACGGAGGAGGCCAGTGTTTGTGTAAGCTGATCAGGCAGAGGCGCAGATTACATGTGAACACGGGGCGGGGGCACATTAAGTGTGTATGGGGGGGGCTCGTGTTTATTAATGGGACAAAAAAAACACTAAAACCAGACAGCAGGCAGAAGTTCAACCTGTTTTGATTCAAAGCAAATCCCTTTTCTTCTGTGTGTCATATATAAATTATATTTTAACTATAAATTTAAAATGGCCACTTTATTAGGCACAGGCTCCTCTGCATGTTAATGCAAGTATCAAATCAGCCAACTGTATTGTAGCGTCGACATGCTCTACATGGTTGAGTTCAGACTGGGGTTCAAGCTGTGGCTGGTGTGAGAGTGCCAACTGAGCCTTGTATAAACAACCTGCCCAATTATTGTCCGGGCCTTTATGATGGCAACATGACACACTGCCTACATGACGATGAGTTCACTGTCCTCAAATGGCCTCCACAATCACCAGATCTCACTGCAGCAGAGCAGCTTAGGGATGTGGAGGAACAGGAGATTCACACCATGGATACGCAGCCTGCCACTACCAAGGTGTACCTAATAAAGTGGTCGCTGAGTGTATGTGGGTAAAATAATAATAATCAGACTTGAGACACTTTGTTAAGTTTGTAAAATTCTTATTTGTGAAATAAAAAAAATACATATTTACATGAAGACCAAGATAACAGGAATAAAACTGCTAAAAGGAATAAAAACACATCATTGAATCACAAAAAAAACAAAAATTAAAATGGCCAGAACCGTCTGTAGGCCTCGTGCATCTCAAGGTTTAATGCTTCAGTTTAAAAAAAGAAAGAAAAAATATCAGCCCCAGTGACGGCGATGACAAAAAACTTCATAAGAGATGACAGAGTCAGAACTGTGTCAGGTGCAGGAAAATCTCGCCTCTAAATGTCACAGCAACAGGACGTCAGCTTAAACAGCAGGTACACATTAATGCTTAGGTGTGTAATGCTCTCGCCGTCAGTTTAACGCTCATTACATTAAAGTGGAAAATAGATAAACATCCAGTTAAAATAAAATCAGCTGCTCCAAAGCGCTTAATAACTTAATAAGGTGGCCTTAGCACAACAAGCTGTGGGGTAAGAACAGCACACCTGCTAAGGTGTGACAGTCCACACTGCGAGAAGTTAAACAGGTAAGCACGCTACTGCCCAATGAGGTAAGTGGTTTTGGAAAATCCTATTGTGTGTCTGTGTTGCTCCCCCCAGTAGCAGTTGGTCCGGTCCAGGCTGCTTCCAGTGATGATGAGCCGTCAGGAGGAGTCCACTGGAGCTTTTGGAGAGGGGGGAAAAATTATTACATAAATCAAAAAAAAAAAAAAAATTATATATATACACAAAAATTATGAACTGAAACCAAACAAACAGCAAAAAACCAAAATGTACAACAGCATTTTTGCATTTAAATAAACGCCCCTCACAAAATGTCAGTATTAATGCTTTAATAAAAAAAAAATAAAACTTACAAAAATAAAAAGTAATTTTTTTCTGTATATAATTTTAATTATTGAATGATACAACAACAAAAGATGTGGTGTAAATATTTCAGTGTTATTTATGAAATTATGTTTTCTCAATTTTACTTTTAAAATATTTTCTAATATAAGCTATAAACGCTTGACTTTAATATTTTTACTTCCTGTAAGTTTGTGTAATTTCTTGTCACAAATCAGTTGATTTAGTTTTTATTTATTTTTACCTTCAGCTTTCTCCTCTCCATCTTCTCCTCCGTTATTCCTCTTCTTGTTCACCTGCCCCATACTTCTCTTCGCCTCGTGCAGCAGCCCCTCCTTCCTCACCTTCTCCATACAGCGCTCCACCCTCTGCGCCTCCTCCTCCTCCTTCTCCTCCAGCAGCGAGCGCAGGAAGGCGGCGCTCACCACCTCCTCACCCTCCCCCACCAGGAAGGCGTTCTTGAAGCGGTTATAGAGCATGGACGCCTTGTCCATGATGTCCTGGTTTGCCCGGTAGTAACGCATCTGCTCACGAGGAAAACAAATACATAATAACAACTGACACGATTTGTATAGTTATTATTTGTTTATTCATTTGATTTATTTTGAATTCAGTCCAGGTTTAAGGTTGCAAGTGACCAATCACCTTGGAGTGATGTCATAGCTTTGCTACGTGGAAACACCATCACACCTAATCCTAAACGTAATCACAGTGACACCCCAACCCCCACCCCCACCCCATTTTTGTGATTTCTTGTCCTGAGTGGACACAAAGCGATGACATCATAGTAGTGTGACAGGTCAGATGCATTGCTTATCCAAGAACCACCACGAGGATATCAGTATGTGCGTTTACCTTCCTGAGCGTGGCGACGAGCTCGCTGTGCCTCTGGACGTGTTGAGACGTCACATAAACCATACTGAGCTGATTCAGCGCCGCCAGACACTTGCTGATGTCCTGAAGATGAAGCACATTAGTCGCGTCGTTCAGTTTCAGTAAACATGCAGTGTTTTTGAAATATTAAAGCTGCATTTAGATTTTCTGGCCACAAGGGGGCGATGTAGCTCCTGATAGCTAAAGCAGCGAGAATCATAAAAATGATCTAATGTCGGCTCACTTTTTATAAAATCACTGTGAACGGTTTTACATTTTGTGCCGTCGTTAATCTGCAGCCAGTTTAAGTTTCGGCTCTTACGGGATTGTCGTTCTTCAGAGAGATCCGGATGTCTCCGTGGATCCGGTGTAGCGTCGAGTCCGTCAGCGTCACCATCGAGCGCTTCTTCTGCTGCTCCTTTACCGGGTTACCTTCTCCTCCAGCGCTCTTCTCCACTGCTGCCGACGTCTCGGGTCGGCTCGCTCCGTCACTTTCCTTCTCCTCGCCGGTCTTCCTCTGCCCGCCCGGCTCCGCACCTTCGCATTTCTTCTCGCCCGTTGTTTTTTGCGTTTCGTGTTTTTCTGCATTTTCCGCCTTTTTTGGTTTCTCCGCCTCGTCCTTCTTCTTTTCTTCACCCTCCTGTTCTTTTCTTCTTGCTGCTGCTTCCCCCTCCTCCTTGCGCTCCTCGTTTTTCTTCGCAGCCTCCGTCACGCTCTTGGCTTTTTTCTCCTCCGCTTGAGTTCTTTCAGATTTCATCTGGACCTCGATGCTTTTCTTCGAGCTCCCATCATCCGACTTCTCTTTTTCTTCAGCGCCCTTCTTCTTCTCTTTCTCCAAACTTCTTTTCTTTTCCACCTTCTCCTCTTTCTTCTTCTCCCCCTCCTTTGCAGATGTTCCTCCCACCTTCTCCTCTTCCCTCATGGTCATTCCTCCCATCATCGTCTTCACCTGGACCTTCGGACCCTGCCCGGCTGTTGCCTTGACGATCTTTCCAATTATTTTTCTCTCCTCCTTCTTTTCTTCATCAGTCTTCTTCTCCTCCTCCTTTTCCTTTGTCTTCAGCTCCACATCTCGACTTTTCTCCAACTTTTCTTCTACCTGCATCTTCTCCGATGTCCTGCCGTTCCCCTTCTTGGCGCCTTCCTTCTTCTTCTCTGATGTTTTCTTGGCTGCGGCTGACTCCTTCGCACTCCTCCACTCTGACCTTGTCGGGCTTCCTGTCCTCCTCCTCTTCGCTCCGTCGCCGCCTCTCCTGATGAGAAAACAGACAGAAGTTTAAACTCCTGACTGATTTTACCGTACTGATTTTACATTTTTCCCTTCCTCTTACAGAGCGCTCCTCGTTGCCTCCCTCCTCCTCCCTCCTCTCCCGGCCTTCAGCAGACCCCTCAGAGACTTTAACACGCTCTCCCTCTTGGCGGCCAGGTGGCGCTGTCGCTGCAGGAGAAATGTTGAGACGTTTTCATCCTTCTCTTCAATTTAAAACATTTCCTTAATGAAGACAGACTCTACCTCATCGTCTGGAGCAGCACCTCCTCTTTTCTCCCTCTCAGTTTTCTCCTTCTGCTTCTCTCCCTCAGATCTCCTCTCCCTCTTCTCCTCTTCCACCTTTTTCTTCTGCTCCTCTTCTCTTCTTAAATCTTTCTTTGCTTCTATAACATCCTTCCTCGCCTTCTGCTGCACCTTCTTCACCTCCTTCTCTCTTCTTGACTGTTTCCTTTCATCTGAATCATCCTTCCTCATCTTCTGAAGTGCCTCCTTTTCTCTCGTCCTCCTCATTTCTTTGGGCTCCGGGCTGGTGTCTTTCCTTGTCGTCTCCTCTTCCACCTTCTGCTCCTCCTTCTCTCTTCCTAAATCTTTTTCTTCTGAATGATCGTTTCTCGTTTTCTGCTGCACCTCCTTTTCTCTTGTTTTCCTCGTTTCTTGGGCCTCTGTGCTCCTTTCTCTCCTTGTCTTCTCCTCTTCCAACTTCTTCGCCGCCTTTTCTCTTCCTAAATCTTTCCTTTTCTGTGAAGCATCCGTCCTCATCTTCCGAAGCGCCTCCTTCTCTCTTGTCCTCCTCATTTCTCGGGCCTCACTGGTGTCCCTACTTATTTTCTCCTTTTCAACCACCTTCTCCTCCTCCTCTGTTCTTAAATTTTTTTCTTCTGATGTGTCATTTCTCGTTTTCTGCTGCTCCTCCTTTTCTTTCGTCCTTCTCATTTCTCTGGCCTCCAGCCTCCTGTCTCTCCTCTTCTCCCCCTCTTCCTCCACCTCCTTACTCTTCACATCTTTCTTTTCCTCTGAAATATCCTTCCTCGCTTTCTTCTCCGCCTCTTTTTCTTTCATCCTCCTTGTTTCTTTGCCCTCTGTGCTCCTGTCTCTCTTCTGCTTCTCCTCTTTCTTACTCTCCTCCTCCTCCTTCTCAGCTGGACTCGTCTTTACTCCTTCCTCCTCTGTTCCCTTTTCCTGTTCCTTGTGTCTTTTTGATGATCGTCTCTCCATCGTTGCCTTTTCCTCGCTGCTGTCCTGACTTTTCTTCTGCACCTCCCCTTCGCTCTTCCTCTTGACTCCTCGGGCCTCTTCTTTTTCTCCTTCCTCTTTCTCATTCGTTTTCCTCTGGACCACCTCCTCATCGTTTTTCTTCTCTCTTCTCTTCTTGACTCCTTTGTCATCTTCCTTCTCCTTCCCCTCATCCACCTTCTTCTGGTCCTCCTCGTCCTTCCTCCTCTTCACTCCTCGGCCCTCTTTCTTCTGCTCCTCCCTCTCATCTCTCCTTGTCCTTACTCTTCTGCTGTCTTCCTTTTCCTCCTCCTTCTTCTCCACCTTCTCTTCATTTCGGCGCTTGAAGTCTCTGCTCTCTTTCTTTTCCTCCTCCGCCTCCTCCTCCTCCTCCTCCTCCCCCCTCCTTCCACCGGTCGTCATCAGAGCAGGTTCCATCTTCTGCAGCTTCACATTGATCTGACGGAGACGAGGAAAACATGAAACTTTATTCAAAAGCTGAAAAGACAAAATGAGAAAAAGAAGTTTAACATGTGTCTCTGTTGCTTAGCAACGCATTAGATTAGCAGAGGGTCTGAATTGAGCTTTTAGATTAAATCAAAGAAAGAACTGAAGGCTTTTCTTTGAACAGTGTTGAGCTGCTGAATAACACAAGTTATTAATGGCTCATTTAAACTTACAATGGGCAGCATCACTCGATGTGTGTTCAGCTTCGGCTCTTCTGCTCGGCTCCTGGTCGTCACTTCACTTGCAGCTTCTTTGGACGCTTCAGCCTGTCTGGGTTCTGCTTCAGTTGTGCTTTTAGCCTTTTCTTTACTCGCTGTGGTTTCACCCACTGAAGCTTTGACCGCTCCTGTCTGAGAAAAAGAAGAAAAAGAAGAAACAAAAGTTTATTTGTAGGCACTTAATGTCAACAGTTCACCATGCTCTTCCCCACTGAGCTCTAATAAAAGAAGAAGCTCCAGTTTCTTCCATAAACTAGAGGATGAGGCGAGCCATGGATTGCTGGTGTTCTCATGAAGGTGTGTTAGAGCAGAATGAACCCGACACTTTTTTCCTGTTGCAGGAAAAACTGGAAAAAGCCTTCAAAGGCGGTGACGTGAGCCCGAGACCATCGTCCACACAGATTTGTTGGTGCGTTGGAAGCTTCTGCACGGGAGCTTCAAGCCTCAATTCAATCCTCCAATTTCGAGCACACAGAGACGGATCTCCATCGCCCTGCTTTACCAATCTATATATCCAGAAAACAGGAAAATATCCACAGACGTGTGGCAGGTGCAAAGCCAAAAAAACAATATCAAGCAAAACCTTTATTCTCTCTCCACTGTAGGTCCACGTCATTATCTGTGATCTACAGATGCAGAAATGTGCTCAAATCTCCATGAAAATGTTTAATCTGTGACATCCAACTACTCCACAGCACCACCCGTTGAGACAGACACATGGATGGGATAAACATTAAGAAGATGAAACTATTCTACTCGTGTTTATGTCTCAAGTTTCCCACATCCCCTCCTCTGCAGACAACTCCTCCATGCTTCTGAATTCCCCCCCCAAAAAAGAAAGAAAAAATATATATAAAAAATATATAAATTATATATAAAAAAATTTATATATAATTTATATTTTTTTTTCCTCACTTTGCACCTTTCAAGTTCAATCTCACAACAGACAGTGAAACACCAGCACACAACAAGGAGCTTAATCCTTCTAAATCCCTCCCTGCAGCACACTCTGAGGATGTGATTTTTCCAAGTTCACAGAGCACATACAGAGTGGGTCCAGTGCTCCACAACCAGGATGGTAACCCTCACTGTCTGACTGACAGGCGCCATCTCCAGCCCCCTGGTATAGTTGTTGCAGGGAGGCTGAGAGACCCCAGAACCACTGCTGAACCACTGCCAGTCCAGAGGCCCTCTCCCCAAATGGAACAGCCCCACAGCTTTAAAACATTTAACCTCTCACCTCTTTGTCTGTCTTGGCCAAGGCGGTGCGTTCACCTTCACTCCCTCCTGCAGACGGACCGCCGCTTGCCGACCTTCTGGTTCGAGCAGTCGCAACGGTCTCTGCAGTGTCTGCAGCAGGGGTGGAAGCCTGCTTGGACTCCTCACTTTGCTCTGCAGCCAATCTTGATGAAACTCGTGTGGGAGTTTTAACAGCAGCTTCCTTTTCGCCTCCTGTGCGCCGCCTGTCGGCGGCAGCTTTACTGGCCGACTCGGATCTGCTGGGGGAAGATTTAGTGACAGCGCTTGGAGTTGGACTTTTAGCAGCAGACGTCGGTTTAGAGGGTGTAGATTTGGTCGCTGGTGCGGACTTGGCAGGTGTAGCCTTGGGTGATTTGGCAGGTGTAGTTTTAGGTGCTGGGGTTGGTTTAGCTGGAGTAGCTTTGGTTGCAGAAGCCGGTTTTGCTGGTGTACTTTCTGTGTTTGTCTTCCCCGGTACCTGAACAGAAGATAGAACGGAGAACCTTTATTAGAACCGAAACATGCCTCACTCATGGGCTATAAACATTTACGAAGCAGAGGTGCCAGCAGTGTGAGAAATATGTTGGAAATAGCCTTTAAAGCCCCCTATCCATGCCTTTGACCCTAGTCTGTTCTGATTGGTCAGCTACCAAAACAAATGAACACAAAATGTAACTAGTTGAGATGATGCTGCACGTGAAACATTTACTCTTTCATGTCTGTCACATGAGGTCATCCTGAACCTGCTCACATCTGTGAAGAGAACCAGCCCTCACTGTCGGACCTGTCACTTCAGGTGATGATCTGACCCAACTGGACAGACTGATACTACTGAAGTAAAGCTGTGCCACATCAAATCACCCAATATAATTGTTTAGGTGATGTAAGAGTGTCTGATCAATCACAGCAGCTAACTGGAGAAGGTGGAAAATGCCCTGAATTCACTGACATTAATAAAAGC